TGCAGTTGGACGAGCCAGCCCTCCACTGGGAGTTCACGTCGCATCTTAGCGATGCCCGTGCGTACTTCATGGACCATGGTGGCTCTTTCAAGACATCGTGGATTCACGCTTGCACGAAATCAAGTGGCCAGCGCCCAAACACCAACCTGGAAAAGGCGATCCTGGGCTGGCTCGCAACTTCATGTTCCACATCTGGGGTCGAGCAGAATTTCTCCAAGGGCGCGTGGGGCTTCAACGACAGGCAGTTATCCTGCGGCATTGCGCACGAGAGGTCCACGCACAGGCTCCTGCTGTACGATGGCCCGATCGACGACCTCATTGAGGGTGCCCAGCGAGTGTGGAAGCATTGCTTCGGCATTGAGAGGGCGAGCGGCTCCGACAACCGCGAGGAGCGCAGTGACAAGGGCACCAAGCGTGCGCTCAGACAGTCGATGTGTTGACAAATTGGGCCGTCCCCCTCGCCAACCCTCACCCCTCCCCCAGCCGGGGAGGAGGATCAGTGGGGGGCACGTATCTCCTGGCTTCCCCAGGTCTGACGAGATCACGGAGAAGGGGCTACTGAAGAAGATGCGCAGCTTCCGCGTCCAAGGAGACAGAGGCGCACAGGCGGCCATTGCAGCGCTCGCTGATGGCGCTTGGACAGATGAGCACGACAAGGAACGCACTTTCGCAGAGGACAAGCTGTTCAAACGAAGGGTCGAGGCAAGCCTTGAGGGACTGCTCCTTCCAGATGAGGACAGCGATGTACTACAGTGGCACGCTGCCAACAGAGTTGATGCCATGGTGAAGAACCAGCAGGAGCGGGATCGGCGCGACGCGCGAGGCGGCCTGCATCGGGGAGAAGGGGAGCGGCCATCACCTGAAGACCTGCGAGGGAAGACGTGTTTCGTGCGCAAGTTGGAGCACTGGGACGAGTTGCTGGCCAATGGCGTTGTGATGACGCGGCGTGTTGACCCATGGCTTGCAGAAGTGATTGTGGTTGATGACTTGACCAGCGTGCCGACGTTCTTGAAATGGGTAGCTGCGGTTGTTGGTGCCTATGTAAGTACCCCCACGGAGCTCTCCACATCCACGGGCGCGTGCCTGAAGTACAGCCGCGCCATTGCTTCGTCCCGGTTCATCCACGTCACCGACTGCTTCAAGGCCAATCACCGCCAGTACTACGAGCTCCTGACCACAGCGGCCGGCTTTGCTGATTCCAAGTGGCAGTTTATAGATGCAGCTAACTTCTTGGTCAAGAAAGCGGGTGTATACAAGGACCGCACAGAGGCGTTGGCCCTGGCCACCACCGTCGACATGGAGACTCCGCCATTACAGGGCATCAAGCACGTGTTCGGCGGCCCTGGCTTCCTGGACCTCATCACGAAGGTTGATTTCAATGCATCGGCAAGTGGTATGCTACGGTGCAGCGTGGGCTGAGCAAAAGCATCATCGTCCTTCCTCTTCCTCCTCGCCCTCCTCCTCCTCCTCCTCATCCGCTAAGCCCCCCTCCACCCCGGCAGCTCCTCGCAACGTGACGCGCGGGCGCGGGTGCGAGAGGGGGCACGTGCGAGATGAGGGCGGAGTCGGAGGGGAAGAAGGCGAGGACGAGGAGGGAATGTCGGTTTGGATCTCGCTCCCCACCGTCTCTCGCCCAGCACTCCGTCACGTGACATCTCCTGGCGCTTGGTCAGTCTCGCGCTCGATTCGGTCGCGGCGCCGATCAACTGCTCGACTTGGCACTCGGTCACAACACACCGACCCCGCTCGACTCGGCATTCGGTCACGGCACCGATCCGGCCACCCCTCTCGACTCGGCATTCGGTCACGTCACCGCTCCGGTCACCCCGCTCGACTCGGCACTCGGTCACAGCACCGATCTCACTCGACTCGGCATTCGGTCACATCCCCGACCCCACTCGACTCGGCATGTCACGACCCCGACCCCACTCGACTCGGCACTCGATCACGTGGTCGATCGGTTGATGTGCCCAGGACACCCTGACGAGTCGGAGGTGGGTGGGCGCCCCACCTCAGCACGTCAGTCACCTAGCTTTGCGCCTGACGAGCCGAGGTGGGGACGCACGTTTTCGACTGACGAGCCGAGGTGGGGGAAATCTCACACGCCTTTACCCCACTCGACTCGGCGGTCGCCCGTCCCTCTGCGTGACGAGTGGTGGTAGGGCTCCCACCCACCTCCGACTCGGCAGGGTGTCGGGGCACACGTGACGAACCGAGGTGGGTGGCGCCTGGCCGCCCCGGCCGCCTCCTTGCCCCTCCTCCTCCTCCTCCTCCTCCTCCTCCTCCTCCTCCTCCTCCTCCTCCTCCTCCTCCTCCTCCTCCTCTCCCTCCCTCCCTCCCTCCCTCCCTCCCTCCTCCATCCTCCCTCTTCCCTCTTCCCTCCTCCCTCTCCTCCATCCTCGTCTCCTCTTCGCCCATAGCTGTTCGAGTCATCAGGTCTACAAACAGGTCGCAGACATGAGACCGATCAGAGTAGGCACCGATTTTTCGGGGATTGACATGCCGATATTTGCTTTGCAAGAGATGGGCGTTGACTACATACATGTGTTCTCATCAGACAACAGCGCGGCGTGCAAGAAGGTCATTCTGAACACTCATTCCCCGAAGAGGTTTTACGACGACGCCCAACAACCCAAATCCCAGGATGACAAAACGGACCTCTACATTTCTGGCTTCCCGTGCCAACCCTACGCTGCGGGCGGGAACCACCTGGGGGACGATGACCCCCGTGCCATGGTCGATGAGAGCTTGGACTACATCACAAACTACAAACCCTCGGCGGTTATGATGGAAAACGTCCCTGGCCTGATGACCACGCATAAGAACACCCTGGAGAAGATCACGAGCCGCCTTCATCGGGATGGATACGCCACCAAACACAAGCTCCTGAACTCGAAAGACTTCGGGGTCCACCAGAACCGCCAAAGGCTGTACCTTGTCGCTGTGAGGAAGGACAAGTTGAAGAAAGATCGTACATTCGAATGGCCACAAGCAATGCCCCTGAAAGGACCGCCACCACTGGACCGCCTCAAGTCCGACGAGGACCCCAAGACGCTCCCCTCGAAGACCCTGAACGGTGGTCTGGCTAGGTCTCTCTTGAAACGGTCGATCCGGGAGTGCTTGGCTGGAGATCCGCCTGTTGACCCCAGGAAGACGTGCGTTTTCACTGACATCTTGTGCTCCGAGCAATACTTCACGAAGAGGATCAAAGTACTGCCTTGCCTTACTTCTCGGCGGGGCCACGGGGGTGGTTTCTGGGTATCCACGAGGGGGAGGTTTACGACTACTGCCGAGCTCTTCCGCTTCCAGGGCCTCCACCCGTCGACGATCGACTATGCGTCCCTCGGGGTCTCGGATCGCCAGATGGGCGCCATGCTCGGCAACACGATGACCCTCCCGGTGTGCGGGCGAGTGCTCCGGATGCTGGTGTACGTGGCTGGGTTGGTTTCTGAGCTGCCCAAGGACCCGTGGGAGAAGAAGTGAGCGGGAGGCTAGATGGGTTGCGCATATGCACATATGCACACATGACAATTTGGCTTGCGTGCGTCGCCACGCGAGGAGGGGAACGAACGACGCGCACCGTGCAACGCGGGTTGAAAGACTTGTTCACGAATCCCCACCAGCCCATCCTAAAACAGCCACCTTTGCGAAGTGCACTTGTTATCGGGAGTCGTTGGTTTGCTTTCTTTGCTTGAGCACTGGTGACGTCTTGTAAGCCTCTTAGGGTCATCGTAGGGGCGCTTTGGGGGTTCTCTTGGGGCCCTTGGTGGCCTTGGAGCGTCTCTTGGGCAATCTTGGATGCCATGGATCAAACATGCGGTGGGCTATTTTAGCGTTCCCCCCTCGGAGCCTTCAAATGAGCCTCTTGATGTCCTCTTGGGGCGCTCTTGGGGTGCTCTTGGGCCGCTCTTGGGCCCCTCTTGGAAACCCTCTCAGGCCATCTTGGAGCCGTCTTCAGGCTTCGCAAACCCATCATAAGCGAAAATGCGGGAAGGCCACCACCATCGGTTTCCGAAGGTTTTGATGGATTCTGCTTTCGCGGTCTTGGGCCCTTGGGGCTTTCTGGCCATCTTCGGGCCCTCGTCGCCACGGCTGGACGAAGGGGCGGTCCTGGCCAGGGTCTGGAGTTCCCGGCCAGGTGATACAAAGCGTCTTTTGCGTCGCTGCGCCCAGGGGCCTCCGCCGTCCCTCCCCGACCAGCCCAAATGTGGCCCTAGCCTGTCCAGATCTACTCAGAACCTTACGTGGATGCCAGCTGTGTTATCTGGGTTGCCGGGCTCTTTCTGTTGGCTTCGTTTTCCGCTGATGCTATGTTGCCGTCGATGGCGGGACATTCCCGGTAGGGGAATGTGGCTGGCGTGCCCGAGAGCGCCAATGATCTGTGTCGGCGTGGGGAGTGTGTCTCAGCGGAGCATAGCACGGCCAGTGGCTAGTTGGTTGGTTCTCAGTGTTGGTGTTGGGGGCCTGTAGGGCATCTTTGGGGCCGCTAGAGCAGAGTTAGTTGCTTGACAGTCTTCGCAGTCTCGAGGCCGCTGGCCCAACTTTGCTTGACGCCATAAGTGGGCATCTGTTTAGTTCGATAGTGCAATGATCTAGCGCTGGCCCGCCCGCCCCTGCTGTGCCCTCGCGTCCAGATGTTCCCCGCGCGGCCCACCCCTGAGCGGTGAAAACATCGAAAAGGTTGTGCATTGTTTCTCGCGCTGGGCGAAGCTCTGAGCGCGTGAACGACGAAAAACCTATGCGGTGTTTTGGGGCATCCAGGAGGAGGGGGGGCGCGCGGGGAAACGCAATGGGGAAGGGCGGCGGCGTGCGGGAGGGTAAGGGAAGGGGTGAGATGAAAGGAGACGCGGGCGGGTATGGCGGAAGTGGGAGGGAAGGGGGGGTAATATGGGTTGGAGAGCCTCCTCCGCCTCCGACCTCCCACCTCCAATCCTTGCCACAGCTTTTTTGATCATTATTTCTTTCCAGGCGCCCTTCTGGCACTCCACCAGTCGTCAGGCATGCCGCCGCGACCCAAGGGCAAGGCTAAGGCCAAGCCGGCCGCTGTCGCTCCCCCCAACCTCAACTCGAACACGCCGATCTACTCCGACTTCGAGACGAAGCTGGCCAAGATCAAGGGGCACCCGCTCTTAGCGAACATCGAGGATGAGTCCGTGCTGACCATCCCGCAGGGCGGCAGGATGGCCCCTTTCGACGCGCAGAACTACAAGACGTGCATGGAGCAGAACAGCGAATATCAGTGCGCAGGCAACTTCTTTTGGCAGAACGTGATGGTATCACCTACGCCGTCTGTCACCATCCTCAAGAAGAATATCCGCGACGTCGGCAATATGAACTACCCCGACCCCTCGCAACCAGTGCGCTTCATCCCTCACACGATCAACATCGGCATCCCTTCCGTCGACTTCGACCCGACGGCGCACATGGGGAGCCTCTCGCGCATCTCGCCGTGCGAGTACGTGCTCGCAGCGATCGACCGCTGCTCCATGGCAATCGACGCTGAAGCTGATGATGCTACGATCTTGAGCTGGAAGGCGTCTTTCCGTTCGTGTCACTTCATCTTCAAGGCTAGGGCGTCGCCAAATCCGCGTTGAGGCAGCGCTGGCCCAGCCCGTCTTGGGCCTCAGGACTGCCTGGCCCAAGCTGGGATGGGCCAGGGCTGGCCTTGGCGTTGGTTTGGGTCGGCCCCGAAGTTGATCGACATTGAAAACATCCGTTTCGAGTCGATGAACCTCCGCGAGAAGGCCATCGGCGACGCAGCAACAGTCACATGGACAGCCCTGCAGAAAGTGCAGATAGTCATGAACGAGGCCGCGAGGATGCAACACCCCAGTGCCAAAAAGGTTGCTGCTCAGTTCGAGAAGAGGGTTAACTTCGCTCCCAGCTCTGAAAAGTTCGCTGAAGGATTCGTGGACGCGGCGATGACCATCAACAACAGGATGCTGAGCATCCCGGCATGCAGGGTGCTGCTGACCAAACTCGACAACGACATGGGCACCAACGGCCCTCTGAACTCGGTCTACAAGCTCCAAGCGATCGTGTCTAAAGGCCGGACGTCGGCCGCCATCGAGAACATCACTACCTACCTGGTGTTTGGGTTCGAGTGCGGCCACTACGAGATCGAAGACCTATCCGTGAGCAAGCTGCGCAATGGCCAAGTGGAGCTGATGATACTCAAGAGGAGCATGCTGTCCTACTTCATGGACGTGTCGTTTCACGAGCTGGGCTTCCCGCCCGACGACGTCAGCCTGATCCGGCGCAGCTACCAGGACACGGATGCGGTCAAGGCCTGGGCCAAGGCCCCCACAAACGAGAGGCAGCCAGATCTCTTCTGGAAGGCTAGCCTTTGCAAGCCCTCGAACCTCTTCAGCGAGTTCATTGAGAGCATGGTGTACGACGTCAAGTACGACGCCAACCTGAAGCACGCCTTGAAGTATAGCAAGACGCCGCAAAATATCCTCAGCGACTACCAGGCTCCAGGGCATCGTTCCTTCCCCCTCGTTCTCCTCCTCCCCCTCCGCCTCCGTCCTCCTCGGGACGCCAGCTGGAGGAGGGAGCGAGTAGAGGTGTGAGGGGGTGAGGGAGGAGAGAGGAGGGAGGAGGAGTTTTTTTTGGAGCGAGGCGGAGGCAATCAATCGGTCGATCGCGCCCCCGTTGCCCCCGCAGGGAATCGAGGAGACCTACAACGATACCCTGGCGGAACTCGAGAAGTTCAACGCGCAGAGGGCGGTCAGCGGCTCCGACCCCAGGGGCAGGGTCGCCGATGCCCCCGAGGAAGCGGAGCCAGAGACACTCGACACCAAGGAGCGGCTGGGCAAGCAGCTGGGCGAAGTCAAGGATGCGATTGACGCCGCAGTGGCCGAGGGGTGGCCGTTGCACTAATTCACGCTGCGCGCCGTGGCGCCGAAGACCGTGTATGGTCCGTACTCTCTGCACTGATCGGTCAAGCATAGGTGGGTTGCGGGATGTGGTAAGTCTCCATCTCGTCAGGGCGGGTGGTCCCTCGAAGGGATACCTGCAGGGCGTGATTGCTGTGGGCAGTTATACTGGTCCAAGTGCGATGGTGCTACTCCCATTTAAGACTCGGTCCCTTACGGGGCGACCATCGACGCGCGCATCGTGTTGGGCGTGGTTCTTTCATATGTGCTTTCGCGTCCTCCTCGATTGGAAGCTCCGGTCATGGGGTGAGGCCATCACGAACCCTCAGGTCCGCACGTGCCCGCTGCAGGAGAAGCCATACTGCCTCCTCGTGCAGACCGTGCTCGCCGGTCGCGCGCCGCCCACTGAGAAGGAGCCTGGCCTCAACCCCGGAGAGATCGCGCTTCTCATCGATGGCGGCAAGTCTGGGAACAAGCGGCCCCTCCTCAAGCCCTGGCGTCCGGTGGCAGGCGATGAGGGCGAGGGCGCTGACATGGGCGACGAGGCCGCGCCGACGGCAGCCTTCAAGACGCGCCAGGTCAACCTCATCAAGAACGAGGCCAGCGTCCGCGCTCGGCGGGTGCGAGCCGTGGCGCGGGGGGCTGGCTCTATCCCGCAGCTAGAGGCCATGCGCATCTGCGGGACGGACATGTCCCTTCCGGAGCAGTCGTGGGGCGAAGGCTTCGAGGGGACGAACAAAGGCACGGCCATCGCCCCGATCGTAGTGGACGCCATCGAGAACGATTGGACTGAGACGGTGAAGATGAAGAGGGAGATCTACGGCAACTTCCGCGTCGCCGTGGGGAACACGGACCCTGGCCAGCCCGACAAGAGGGTCCACTGTGTCTGAAGCCCCCACCCTCCTTCGTATCCTCTCTGCCCCCCTCGAAACAGTCGGGATAGCAGAGCGATCCTTAAAAGCTTCTCTGGAGCGTCTCTGGAACTCGAGCCAGAATGGCAACGGTTGCGGATGAGGGTATCATAGCATAACAAAGTATAGCATAGCAGCAAATATCACACTACATAGCGCAACCTATAGGTGATCAGGAAGGACACTGACAAAGAGCCAGTGTGCTTCGGGACGCTGCCGATTAAATTCTACACGGCCATCCTGACCGGCTACATGATCAAGACGGTGATCGACCTCACCGTGGGCACGGGCGCTTTCGCCCAGGCGTGCTTGCTGAAGCGCTGCGGGCACGCCAAGGTCAGCTACTTCGGGATCTGTCTGTCGGAGGCGCGCATGAACGCCGTCCGCGAGCGCCTCGTGTATTTCGTGCTCAACCAGATGATGACTGAGGGATCGCCCCTCTACATTGCGAAGTGCGCGGAGGCCCTGATGCCCACGACCCCAAAGAAAGGAGAGAAGCCGGCTGGCAGCAGCAAGGACTCCCCGCCGAAAGGCGGCGGCGGCGCCAGCGCCGCGGGCTCCAAGGACACCACCCAGAGCGGCAAGCGCAAGGGCGATACCGGCGACAGTAAGGACTCCAAGAGCACCAAGAAAAGCAAGAAGGGCAAGAAGACGGAGGGCGACGCCTCGTCATGGGACATGTCGGATGATGGCTGTGTTGCTGAGGGTCTGGATGATGAGTGAGGGCCTCCGGCGGTGCTCCCAAGGCCCCTTCGGGCATCTGGGGGAGGGGAGTCGGAGGGAGTGAGGGGGGAGTGAGGAGGGAGGAATACAGGCTGATGACACGAGCCACGAAGATTTGAAGATTTCAGTCCTGGCCCAGGCTGCGCGCGACAGTGCGTGCAGTGCCTGGGAAGGGCCCGCCTTTGGGATGGGATAACACTCGTAGTGCAAAGCACTGCGAGCGACATTCACGGCTCCACGTGGAGCCGCGACGCTCAAAATGAAAAGAAAAAACTGGCCGAGTCGGATTTGATTTTTGATGTCCTGGAGCTTCGGCGCCGTCGAATTTCTTGGAGCTTCGGCGCCCAAATCATCCCAAATCGGCTTGTGTTTGATTTCCTGGAGCTCCGGCGCCTTCGATGCGAACGGTCCTGGGGAAGGTTTCCAGACCTCTGGGGGTCGACAACTTGAACAAAAAAACGAAACGATGTCGGATGTGTACGCCCGCTCTACCGCTGCTCCCTGGGCGCCGTCGCAGGGGGGTGCCTTCCTACTCCTCATTCCTCCTCCACCGTCCTCCTCGCCCTCCTTCCATTTCCGCCACGTCCCCCAACCAGCGCTTGCACTTTCGGATTCACCTACCAGTGCTCGTATACTTCCTCGAACAGTGCTCGCACTAAGACTCCTTGCGCAGTGCTCAACTTTTCCTCTTGTTATCGTGCCCGCTTTGGCTCAAATATGCGAGGTCTCCCAAAGAGTCGCCACGATGCGACTAAACCCTAACAGTGCGTTTCAGCAAACTATGGGTGCAATCTACGCGGCGACGGCCAGGTGGTGCAAGCAATGTTGCGTGAGTTGCCAAGGGTGCAGTGGCCAGACATCCACCTTGTCATCCTCCTTCTCCTTTTTCTCCTCCTTCCCCCCCTCCCTATCCTCCTGTCGCTGGCTCGCTCTGCGCTGTTATTTGCGTTCCCCCTGTCAGGCCTGGCTTAGGACCGTCTTGGGGCCCTCATGGGCAATATTGGACGTGTCTTGGGCAGTAGGCCTCCTCGGGGCGCTCGTAGGGTCCTTTTTCGGGCCGTCTTGAAGTGATATTCGGGGTTCTTGTTATATCCATGTGTACATGCACACGCAGGCGCGGACACAGATGTACGTACATATCTAATATCTAATATATATATATATATACATACAAATATAAATATATACATACATACACCTACATCAGCATATAGAATTACGCTTACATAAACATATGCACATGTACATGTATACATAACTATACTATGCCATGAATACATACATACATGTATACATACGTACGTTCTACCTATATGCGTTCTCACACATATATATATGTATATATATGTGTGTACATATACATGCACATATACACATATATATATATGTATATGTAGGTATGTAAATATAAACTGTCATGCATATATAAATAGATACATCCAGAGTCCTACATACATACTCATACAACATCAGACATACACACTCATACATACATACTCATGTCGGCGGCCGGTGGGTCGGCTGTCGGCGGCCGGCGGGTCGGCTGTGGGCCGCAATGTTAAGTTGAAAACTCAATGATGAAAACCCAATGTAAGAATTCATTCTCTGGGCACAAAGGGCGATCATGTGAAGTTCGAATGTAAGAAAACGAATGCGAAATGCATCGCGCGCGCGCGCTGGCGGTCGGCGGGCCGCGCGCCCGCGATGCGTTTGTATATGTTTTACGCATATGGTCACGATGTTAACTTGGAAACCCGATGGTGGAAAGCCAATGTAAAATTTCATTCTCTGATCAACAGAGGCGGCCATATGAAAGTCGAAAGTATGGAAACGTATACAATACGCATCGCGCGCGCGCGACCCGCCGGCCGCCAGCGCGCGCGCGATGCGTCTGTATATGGTTTATACATATGTGTCACGACGTGAACTTGAAAATCCGATGGTGAAAACCCTATGTAAAATTTCACTCTCTGGTCCCAAGAGGCGACCAGATGAAGGTCGAAAATATGGAAACGCGTACAAAATGCATCGCGCGCGTGCGATGCATGTCGCATGCGTTTCCGTATATTCAACTTTCACATGATCAACTCTTGGGATCAGAAAATGAAATTTTACATTGGGCGTTCACCATTGAGTTTCGGGTGGCCCCCCGCGTGTATACAAACATACATATAAATACATATATATATGTATATATGTATGTATATATACATTTGTATATATGTATCTATAGGTACATATATATATATATCACATGCATAAGTATATACATACACACATTCAGCCAATACAGACGCATCGCGCGCGCTACATTGGCACGATCACCTCTTGGGACCAGAGAATGAAATTCTACATTGGGTGGTAACCATCCGTTTCTTCCCAGTTATCACTATGCACACACACATATATATATGTGTATACGTATATATACATATATATACATATAAGTATAGACGTAGGTGTGTAAACGAACTTGAGTCATACAAGCATAATGTGTACACACTTACACGCACATGTACATGTATGCACATATATGTGTATGTATGATAAGGGGGTTCCCCCTGTATTGATCTCCGTTCTGGTCAATATTCACAAAGCGTTCGCCGCCGCACCGTCGGCTTTGCTTGGCTGGCGCGGCGTATCCATCTGCCCATCCCCCAGGCGCCGTCGCACCCTCGGCGCGGCTTGACTGGCGGGGGGCGTCTATCCATTGGTGGCGGCCCATTTCTTCCAGTTGCCCAAACGGAGGGGAATGGAAATGCTGCTAAGACCTGCCAAGGTCTACATGGCCGCCTCTTGGGCCTCGAGAGTGAATATTTACATTGGGGTTTGATCACTGAGTTTTCAACTTAACATGGCCTCCGATTGTCTAAAACCAATACCATATGCATCGCGCGCGCGCGCGGGTGACCCGGCCCCGCGCGGGTCACCCGCGC